CATGCCAGGGCTCCTTAGACGCTCTGGCATCACAGTTTAGGACTAACTGCTGCCGTAGACCTGCCAGTGGACACTCACGGTTGCCGCACTCCGTTGTGTACCGTACAACGCAAAGGAACATCATGCACGCCACAATCCCATCAACTTGTGAATATATTGCACTTACGTTTCAGTAGATGGCAGTAGAGCAGTTGGAGGAAAAGGAAGCCTTTGCTAATTCACAAAAACAAACAAGAGATCATTTTCCTCCTCCTTTTTTATGCCCTATGTTAGATCATGGGGCACAAAATAACCCCCCAAAGATAGTGGCTAATCTCATTAATATGCCACACACACCTGCAATTCATAGAATTGGAATGAACCTAACAAGCTGATGAAATTCCTTGTCACATCTTTTCCTTGTCAAAATTTTGAATCACAATATGTGGTTCACAATTCTCAAACATTTTTGTCTTCAGAGACAGACTTTAAAATTTTTTGGGCTAAGAGTGTAGATCAATCATACAGCCTGTGCTTGACTGGCCTGGGAGACTCCTGGATTCAAGCACTAGCGCCAAAAAAGAAAAAAAGGAACTGGTTTTAAAAACTATCAAAAGCTCCTAAATAACGTTTACTATATAGCTTTTATCTATAGATACTATTTTACTATCCAGTATTAAAATCTATAAATTTTAAAATAGTTTTTTAACTCATCAAAAAAAATCAAAATCTACTCTTAAAATAGATAACATATTTTCATCCAGAATAGATGTGTCCCCCCTGCTAATAAAAGAGTAGCATTTTTTTTTTTCGTTTCCTAGCAACTGTATTCTTTTAGTGATCCAGCACTTACAGGAGCCAAAGGAGCCAAGTGGTGCCCAGCCCCTGCAGTCATTATGTACAGAGAAGGGGCCTGCTTGCCTGCTGTGGGGGGGCCTATAACTTTACCATTTTATTTATTTATGTATTTATTTTATTTTTCCGGTACCGGAGATTGAACTCAGGACCCTCTGCTTGCCAGGCAGGCACTTATTCTACTGAGCTATGTCCCTCGCCCGAAGAGTAGCATTTTTAATGTTTTCAAGTCTGTCTAATTTCTGTCTTCATGAAAGTGAGATTCTTACAGCAGCGTCTGTGTTCAATTTGCTGTCTTATCACACCTCACGTAAGCTCTGGGAAGCTACCCTGTGATGTTACTAAAGAATGAAATTAGAAACAACATTGCCACGCTAGATGCTAACGATTGTGGCCTTCTAGATTGCAAGAAGAATCAGGCTCAGGCGTCCCACTTTGCGAAGGTCGCCCGCCGCTCTACTCCTCCTTCCCACTTGCTTCTTGCTTCTCCCAGAGGCACTTCCTAAGTCTGGCACCTCACACTGAAATTCCTCGGCAATATTTAATTTTTCTGAATTATATGTTTCCTGAACTAATTATCATCTTTTAATGCTCTTCCCAGGCACATATTTGTCTGCAAATAATTATTTGCTGGTACGCCACCCACAGTAGTCAACACATAGCTAGTCAAATAGCCTGTCGAATATCCACCATCTCTAAATAGCCTCCTTCTCCAGAAGAGTCAGCTCCTACCTCCTCCTTGGCCTCATTCTCCTTTCCCAAACAGACCTCAATTTCTTTTGATTTCGGATCATTCCCATCAGCACACAAATGCACTACAGGATCCTTTACTGTATTTCTGACTAAATCTCCACTTCTCTGCCTTCCTTGCAGCAAAAGTTATTGAAAGAAATGTGCACACTTTTTTCCCCTCTCTCCTCTCAATTTTCCCTCTTAAACATTTTTAAGCCCACCGCTACTACTGCTTTTGATTAAGCCGTCCAGGCTCTGTGCTCTCAGAAACTCACAGGCACTGCTATAACCTGCGTTCATTTGCTTGCTGGATGATCTGCTCAGCTCCTTGGCCAAAGCCTCTAATTTTACCTCTAACTATAGTTTGGAGCTCCAGATGTGACTAGCCAACTAGCAATTTGACATTTTCCATTAGCATTTCAGAACCTCACTCTACCACATGTAATCTATCTACAATTCCTGTCAGCTCCTCCTCCAAAATATAACCCTACTCCACCCACCTAGTCCATCTCCTTATCACTCTAGTCCACACTACCATCATCTCTTGGTTCAACTGCTGTGCCAGCCTCCTAACCTTCCCAGTAGGGTGGCTGTCTCCCTGTTCTCCACCCAGTACCCAACAAAAGCGATTTCTTTCTTTTTTAAAAAATGTATTTGGTACAGAGTCTCACTATGCAGCCTGGACTTATAGTGATCCTCCTGCTTTTAGCCTCCCCAGAGCTGGGATTACAAGCGTGTACCATCACACCTGGTCTTGGTGGCTGGCTCAGTGCGCCTGGGGGTGGGGACAGAGCAGCATGTGGTGCCCAGGACCAAACTGGAGTCCCTGCAATGACCCCCAATCCCTGTGCTAGCCTAAGCAGGTACTTAGTCTGCTGAGCTATCTTGCCAGCCCCAAAAGTGATCTTTTAAAACTATGAATCAGAGCGTATCATCCCCATGCTTAAAAACCTCCTGTAGTTTTCCACTGTACAAAGAATCCCATCTCCTCACCAGGATATACAGGATGTGGTCTCCTCAATTTGTCCTTGACTTCACCCTTCCCCACTCCCTCACCAAGTTCTGGCCACACGGGCCTTCTTTTTCCTTAACAGGTGACGTTCTTCCAACCTCCCTCCCTTTCCATTTCTTTCCTTCTTCCTTTTAATATATTTAGTACAGTCTGCAGGGTCTCACTACGTAGATTGGACTCATAGTGATTTTCCTGTTCTCAGTCTCCTAAGCGCTGGGATTACAGGCATGTGCCACCATGCTCAGTCTCCATCGAACCCTGGCTGCTGCACTCTGCCTAAGCAGGCCTTTCCATTTCTAGCCAGAGAATCTCCCCACGGCTGTCCCCAACTCTGCTGTCTTCTTGTCAGGTAGGTCTCAGGCACTCGCATCACTGCTCTATCCAGGGTTGCAATTCTCAAGCCAGGGGACCCATATAAAGAGACAGGGTGCCAGCAGAGAAAGATGACTTAGGCACAATATAAGACGATCTAAGAGCCATATAAAGGCACGGACATGGTGAATGGAAACCATCGAGGTGGTGCGACCCATACAGCTAGCAGTAATGGCGTGTTCTTATCGCTTCCAGGATGAAGGAAACACAGGAGCCAGCAGGCCAGCTGAAAAGGACCAGCTGTCAGGATACAGTCAGTTCGCAAAGACCGTCACCCTTCTCCCTGCAGTTTCCTGTCAGTGTTCCCCAGGGACAAATCTAGTGAACCAACCAATTAATCCCCCAGGGTATAGACAGTGGGTCTGGAGAGTGCCAAAGACATACCAATCTCACTCTCTAGTCTAGACCTTGCCTCATTTTCTTTAGGGCATTGTTGTATGACATTATGTATGTGTTTACTTAAATATTTGTTTCCTGCACTAGAGCTTAGGACAAAATAGGTGCTCAATAAATTGCTGGAGAATCAAGTTACACTTTATTTTGGCTTCTGGAAGTTATGATTCACTAGGGACCCAAGCCATATTCGTGGGTTTCTTTAGGATATTTCTGTGGCACTTCCGTGACTGATAGCATAGATGGGATTTAAGTGGGAAAAAACAGCACACAGGTTCTCATCCTCAGAGCAGTGTATCTGGGGACACTGAAAATAACAGGATGCAGGGGAACAGTCAGAAGACGAGACTTTGGGACAGCAGCAGATCTGTATCCCTAGAGTTTCTGCCACTCTTTTGTTCCTTATTCATCCATATCTAAAATTTTCTGTAAACCATTAAAAACACAAATGATCTAATGGACTATAAACCAACACAACCTAACTAATATTTATAGAACACCAAACAATAACAAAATACACTGCTTCCGACAGCACATGGTTTGACCCCCAGGGGAGTACCGGCTGAGACATAAGTCAATTACATTTTTCAAAAACTGAAATCAGACATGTTTTCTGTTCCAATTTTAATATACGTGCTGCCAAAGTGAGCACCATATATGTCCTCTGATTATAATGGAATTAAAAACCAGTTACAATATCTAGAAATCCTAAACATTTACAAATGAAAAGCATATTTCTAAATAATCTATGGACTGAAAAACAACTCACAAGGGCCGATCCTTCAGCAGACTGAAGAGCCTGCTTAGGCAGAGCCCAGAGGCCCGGGCGTGCGGAGGCGGCCCCACCCCTGGGGCGTGCTGCGGCTGCCATGGTGGCCAAGCCTGTAACGCCAACTCTTGGGAGGCTGAACACAGAAGGATCACTACGAGTCCGATCTACATAGTGAGATCCTGTAGACTGTACCAAATACAGAAAAAAAAAAAAAAAAGAAAAACAAATCACAAGGGAAATTTTATACTATTTTGTACTAAGTAATAAAAATATAACATCAAAATTCATAGGTTTTGACTAAAGTAATGCTTAGAAGGAAATTTATAACTTTAGGTATTTATATTAAGAAAGGACTACGTTATGGTTTGTGTCTAGTTGTCCCCCTAAAGCCTCATGCAGTCATGGGGTGAGGACTTCTAGAGTTTGTGTTAACTCATGATCCACTGGGATTATGTGTGAGCCAAGGCTGCGATTATGGGTTTTAGTACTACTGGGAAGTACCCATAGGTGTGAGTACTTCCCCTACCCTGGGGCAGGTA